GAACCACAGTTCAAAAGCAATGTCTGATTTTCATTGCTTGATTTTCATAGAATTTTTATTTATTATTACTTTTGACTCCAGAACTCTGGTTAACCTGAATTAGACGAGCTAGATATATTATTGTTTATGTGGTAACACTTGTCATACCTGCTCAGTCAGGTATTAACGTTCAATGGGAAAAATAAAAAAAAACAAACTTGTCTGACTTTATCAACAAGTACAAGTTTCAACTAAAAATAAAACAATGCATAATTTTTCTGTTTTGTAAGTAAAACCTGTGACGCTCAGTCCACAGTGCTCTGATTTTTCCCACAAACAAACACTCATCACCACAACATTAGTTTGTAAAAGGGATTTGTTCAAAAGGTAGACTTTGATTGTGCTATAAATAAGTATTGTATCTATTTGACATTTCAGTTATCACAATATAGTATATAAGAGTGATTTGTTCAAAACAATGCTGTTGCAGAATGCTACGAAAGAATATTAATTTATATACAGTGTGCAATATAAAGTAAAGCAATGTCAATTCTGTGCTTAACTTGCTCGGTTCATTTCTTTTCAAAAACATATCAAAATACTATAAGAGTACCATTAAAGTATCGGATCAATAGGAGTTGTAGTACCATTAAACTCTTAATGATACCCATCCCATCTGTAACTCGACCCTGGACCCCCTGACCAACCACCCACAGACTGTCAGGTTAGGAAAGCACACATCCTATACCCTCAGCCTGAACAACGGTATTCCACAAGGGTGTGTGCTGAGCTCTCGCCTGCATTATATCTTCACCAATGACTGTGCATGTTAATTACCAACCATGAGTGAGTGCACAGGATGAGGTACAAAACCTGACAGCAAGAAAACAAGAGATTATAGTGAACTTCAGAAGGATGAGGAGAACAAACTCCAGCGTAGTCCCCATTGATGGTGAGGCTGTGGAGAGAGTCTGAGGAGCCATTTAACAGAAGCCCCGTCTTGGTCCATCCAAACCTTCACAATTATTGGGAAGGTTCACCAGTGCCTCCTTTTCCTGAGGAAGCCGAGGAGAGCCAGTCTGCCACAGAGCCCCCTGGTCAGCTTCTACATGTGAATGTGTACTGTGGAGAGCATCCCAACATCGTGCATCACAGCGTGGTTTGCCACCTCCACCAAGAAGGAACAGAAGGCTCTGCATTGGCTCATTAAAACAGCCCAAAACATTTTTGGGACTCTGCTGGCTGCTATTAGGGACATTTACTAGACCTGATGTAGAAGCAGGGCCGCCAACATCACCTATGAGACGACACACTCAGCCAACCACCTCTTCCAGGCGATACAGCACAATATACACATACAACAAGACTAATAAACAGCTACCCTCCAGGTTGTTTAACTGGTGAACATGGCCAGACTCCTCATCCCACACTTACACAAACTAAACCTGGCTGATAAAACCGTTTCTATGTGCAGTTTATTTAAATATATCTTCCTTTCCTGCTACCACACCTAGAACTTTAAGAACTGTACTTTTACGTGTTTACAAACAGATAAAATGTTCTAATGTTTTAATCTCTATTGAGAATGTCTTATTACAGATTGTCTTTTTGTTTTGTACTTGTTTTTCAACCTCAAGGAGTGTCTTCTGGGTTGTAGTGCAGTATAATGACAATAAAGGTTTTGAGCTGATTAATGTGTATGTTACTTTGACATGTACTACCTACCTGAACACTGGTCTGGACCAGGCAGACCCCTCCAATGGCAGCAGCACTCCCTGATGCCAACAACCTCCCCCAGGACAGTACAGCCTACCACACAACAAAAAACTGGTTAGGGCATGACAAAGAGACCACGTGTAGTAAGGATATGGAGTTTTTTTGTTTGTTTCGATAACCATATTTAGGAAAAATAAACTTTAGTAAACAGCACAAGTCAGGAAGATGGAGAACAACAGTGATAGAGATGCCACAAAGCTTACATATAGCAAAAAAAACCCAAAAACATAGATACGTCTTTTCATGTCACTTTTCTCGAATCTAAACCAGCTGGTTGATATGTAAACAGGGAGGCATGTGTAAATCCTGCCCACAGAACTGTGTTTCAGAGTACAGTTAGATCCTACCACTGATGAAGTGCTTTGAGAGACTGGTGCTGAGGCACATAAAATCCTGACTGCCTCCCAGCCTTGATCAGCACCAATTCGCACACAGAGTCAACAGGTCCACAGGTGATGTCATCAACACAGCCCTCCACACAGTGTGTCAACATCTTGAACAATCTGGCAATTATGCAAGGATGTTGTTTGTGGACTTCAGTTCTGCTTTTAACACACTTGTTCCAAGCAGACTGTTGTTCAAACTGCGCAGTCTGGGCATCGGCGAGCACACCTGCAGATGGATCAGTGACTTTCTCACCAACCATCTGCAGTCAGTCAGGTTGGGGCCCCATCACTCCTCAGTGCTGACAGTGAGCACTGGGGCCCCTCAGGGCTGTGTGCTCAGCTCCATGCTGTACACCTTGTATACCCACGACTGTGCACCAACCCACAGCAGCAACATCTTTGTCAAAATAGCAGATGACACTTCTGTGGTTGGGCTGATTCACAACAACAATGAGAGAGGATCAGTGACTTCAAGTTCCTGGGAAGATACATTTCTCAGGACCTTACATGGGGGACCAACACCAATGCCCTTGTGAAAAAGGCACAGCAGTGTCTGTACTTTTTAAGGTCACTGAGAAAGGTCAACCTGTCCCAGGAACTGCTGCTGTCCTTCTATAGGTGTTCTGCAGAGAGCATCCTCACTCACAGCATCTTAGTGTGGTACAGGAGCTGCTCTCAGGCTGACAAGAAGGCTCTGGAGAGAGTCAGGAAGTTAGCACAGAGCATCATAGGAGCACAGCTGTCCTCTCTGTCAGACATCTATGACACCAGATGTCTGCGCAGGGCCAGAAGCATCACCTTCGATGGTTCACACCCTGGGCACAGCCTGTTCTCACTGCTGGCCTCAGGAAAGAGGTACCAATCCATCAAGGCCCGCACATCCAGACTTACCAACACATTCTAGCCAAGTGCAATACGGGTACTGAACTCATATTAGTCTATAGACTGAACTATTTATCACATATATTGTTTATACTATGCGATATATATTATATTATAATTATGTTTTTTAAACTACTATATATTATACTATACTAT